CTTCGTCTTTATCCGGGGCTGGGTCTCGGAGGCAGCAGTCTAAGCAGAGATGCCCAGACTTCCCAGGTTCACACACACTTCCTCAAGTTACTCTGGGGGGACCCCAAGATGACACTAGGCCAGCTCAGAGACATAGTTCCTCCAGCGTGTCCTTGTCCTGGGCCTTCAATGAAGCCTCTTCCAAATATGACATGCCTGGAACACCTTCCGAGGGAGGCGACCAGGAGGCATCTGGAACAGCGGCGTCCAGAACAGATACCCAAGCCACATTGTTCTTGTTTTTAATGCATAATGGGGCCCTTTCTGGAAAAAAAAGCATGTTGTGGGGACCTACTGCTCCTTGTGGGTCCCGATGTCTGGATCTCACAAGGGAAATTGCTGTATTTGGGTCATGGGTCCCATTAAGGACTAAGGTGGGAATTGAGTTTAGGTTGGGGTTAGGGTTACATATGAACCCCTAAAAGTTAGGTTTAGGGTAAGGTTTACAATTAGGCTGTAGAAATGAGTTGAAGTCAATGGAAAAAGGCCTGCAAAGATAGTGAGGCACGTTTGTTTGTGTGTGCGCGTGTTGTTTCTGTGTAGAAATAATGATCTGGAGCATCCGTTGACTCTGATGAATTGCATGTTTGTCAATGTGGTGTAGAAGCTCTTTGGAGACTCGGAATGAAATTCATTAAACCCTCAGCTCAGTCCTCCTGCAGGCACTGTTATAGATGACTAACATTTAGGATATTAGGATAAGTATTTTTTTTTTTTTTTCAATTAAAGGTTGTTTTTATGTCACTGCCAGACACTGGAAAACTTAGGGAGTTTCCCAATGAAAGTGTTTATGTTTCTCAGTCTGTCTTTTCCTTGTCTTCTCGTCCAGGCTGAGATTCTCAGTGTACTGAGTCATAAGAACATCATTCAGTTTTATGGAGCCGTGCTGGAATCTCCCAACTATGGCATTGTCACAGGTCAGACCCCACATTGTGTGTCTTTGAGAGATTATGTTACCATTTACATGACTTAGGGGCTTAAAGTTCAAAATGTTGTTGTAAATGTAAAAATATCAACTCAGATGCAGTATTTAACTTTTAGAAACACTTAAAAGGGTAAAATGATATATCTGTGAGGAAAATGGATGTAATGTCCTGTTGTTTAGAGATGTAGAAGCCTATTTTTTTATGCAGGTGTATTTGATCTGAGATGGCCAAAGTTACACACACATTAACACATGCTCTAGCTGAGCAGTATTTATAAATGTGTTTCAGATGATCAGAACATTCTGATTACTCGGTCTTTTTCCACCCTTCTGGCACAATGTTTGTAACTGAGCCCCAAATGTTTGGATATGCCTGTAATGTTGGACCTGACTGCACAGTTAAGATACAGTTTTAACTCAAAACTCCGGCCTTGTTTTACAATACTGTTGGCTGATACTGATGTCACTTAGCATAAGGCATTTCTTTTGAGTTATATAGATGCATTAATTAACATTTTTTTTTTTTAGCTTATTGTTTTTCATTGCTTGTGTGTGAATTGCTTTACAGAATATGCAAGTGGAGGCTCTCTGTATGAGTACATTTCAAGTGAGCAGAGTGAAGAAATGGACATGGAGCAGATAATGACATGGGCCATACAAATAGCCAAAGGTAGGCTTAAGTTTATTAATTATTTAGAGATATGGCGAAATAAATGGTTAAGTGGAATTATCTGTTTAATACCTTGGTGAGACCAGTCTGTTTAAAAATCCAATATCTGATTTTTTTAAATTGTCAGTAAACCCACCTTTTATACAGTAGCTGTTACAGAGCTGTGCTTACAACTATTTTCTGTGTTAGTGCTTTTTTTATTGGGTACAGTAGACAAAGACTTAGCTGTTTTCTGTATCAGTAAGCTGTTTTAAAATAAATTTAAATAGGTAAAAAAGGAATTTAAAATTGAGCTGTGTCTGTAATTTTTCAGAAATCTTTGCAATGATTTTAGGCTGTAAGAGAGAGGGCAAGTCCAGCAATTAAGAGGGAGATCGAATGAAATATGCAAGTTTTATTTCCTTTATTCTTTTCAGTTTTTAACTTGTTTCAAACTATAGCATATTACATATGGAACCTACTAAATATTATGTTGATGCTTAATGGTGAAACTCAAAAACTAAGATTTTAAAAATATAACTTCAATCTAATTGCCCAAAAGATAAATTGCAATAACAGATGTTACTCTTTTGTGCATTATTATCGATTATGAATGTTGCTACAGAAAACTCTTCAGATTTTCTTATCTCTGATCAATAAATAGGAATAAAATTTTAATAAATACCATCCTATTGTAGTTGAGGACTTTAAATCAACCAACACATCTCCTCCTTTGAATAACCAAACTGTTTAGAATGATATATAAGATATAAAAAAATTATTATTACCTCATATAGCTAAACTCCATCTACTGTATAAAACACAGTCAGCACATCTTTTGACCATTTGTTTCACTTTAAGTGAAATTATCGAAGTGGTGGTGACACCAAAGGTTTTCTGTCCCCTGTAGAAATATACAAGTTGATATAAATCCAGGCTGATGGACCAGCTAATAAATGGACTATGGACTGACCATGTACTTTGGTTCAGTGTTGTATTGAAAGATGAAGGGACACACTGCTCTGAGTTTGGAGCCCTGTTGTGATACTCTTTATATGCGCTTGCTGTCATCCTTTCCTCTATGCAAAATGATCCTACCACTGAAAAAGATCCCTACATTATAATGATGCAGCCACTTTTTTCAAAGCAGATATGATGTTAACAATGGTAAAAACCTTGACTGTTAATCGGGTTTAAATCAATAAAGCGATATTTTGTTTCTTTCACAGCAGAAAATTCTGTTTCTCTTCCTTTTCTCATTTTCCTTATATGTGTAAGTTCTTGAAAGACTTAAAGCTGGATACCATCTAATCTCTCTTTAACTGACCTTCTGAAGGCAGGAATTCAACTTTTTTTAACTTAGTTGGTCAGTTTTTTGATCAATTTTAGATCAGTTTTTGATCAGTCCATATCCCCTGACTGTTCGGTTTGGTCAGGTGGCTCATCTAGGGAGGGTCCTGGTGGTTCGAAACTTCTTTGATTTCCAAATAACCGGGGACCAATCAAAGGTTATGGGATGTTTGATGCTGGTAAAATGTTTTTTTGTTTTGGAACCTTCCTTGGGCTTTGATAATAATCCAGACTTTGAGTAAATTTTTTGGTTTCTGTTCAGATAATCACAAGAAAATGTTTAGCTATTAATTTCCTACTTATACTGTGTTTCTGTTTTACCCAAATCACTGAAGAATCTGATTTGAAACAAATCATAAACACATCCCCAGGCCTAAAAAAAAAAAAAAAAAAAAAAAAAATAATTGGGCATGGCCGCTGGCAAATTTTATAAGTTTAAATTAAAAAAAAAAAAAAAAAAAAAAAAAAATTTAAAAAATGCAATTTTTAAATCGCAGAGACACTCAATTTGAGTTACAATACATTTAACAAGAGTAAGACAGAAAGTTTCTCCCTTAGGTGGCCGAAATACAATTAAAGTGGTTTATGCTATATGGAACAGAGAGCTAGCACCTAAATCTATGCATTATAGTACAAGTAAGAACTGTTTTATGCAAAGTCCTGCAGCACTGGATTATGGACAAGCAGGCTTTCAAAGTCATGGAAAAACTGAAACCCTGGAGTAAAATATCAACATGGTTGTGCTTAGTGTGAAGGGAAATTGCAATAAAATCACAATTGCAATACCGGTTGATAATAATAACAATTTAGATTTTTGCAAATTCGTTCAGCCCTACTGTTGATCATTTGATTTTATTGGAAAACTAGATCGGTCTTTCTGGCACAGCACTTGACTGGTTTGATCTTTACTTGAAGGACAGGGATTTCTATGCGTCAGTAAGGAATTTTACAATAGAGACCAGAAAAAACTAAAACACATGTGGGGTTCCTCAAGGCTCCATTATGGGGCCGTTAATTTCTACTTGCTCAACTTAGCTCAGATTATAGCCAACAACAAGATCAGTTATCATAACTACAACACACAGCTTTACATGACAATGTCACCAGGTGACTATGAACCCATCAGAGTATTAGCTAGATGCGTATAACAAATAAAAATGTGTATGCGCCATAATTTTCTCCAATTGAATAAAAACAAAACTGAGGTAATAATCTTCGGACAAAAGAAGGAGAGCTTTAGAGTTAGCTCAAAGCTTCAGCTACTACAGCTAGCATCCAGTGATGATGGGCGAAATCTTGGAGTCATGATAGAGACAGACCTTAACCTTCAGAGGCACATAAAGGCAGTTACTAAGTCAGCCTTTTATCACCTGACAAACATTTCCAGGATTCAAGGATAAATGTCCAAGCAGGATCTAGAAAATCATTCAAACTTTTATCTTTAGTAGGATTGATTAATGGAACAGTATTTTCATATGTAGGTTTGCCTAAAAAATCAATCAGACAGCTGATCACATCCTCACTAGAACTAAGAAAGTAATCAGTCTGGTTATGACATCCCTACACTGCTCTTTTTGAAAATCCTAATGTTGGTCTATAAACCACTGAATGGATCAGCACCTCTATACATAATTTATTCTACAGTGTATTAACCTCCCAGACCACTCAGGTCTTCTAGTTCAAGCCTACTCTTCACATACAGAGCGAGAACCAAACATGGAAAAGCAACATTTACTTCCTATCCCCCCTATATTAATCAAACTTCCAAGTCAAAGTTAAAAACTCAATTTATTATAACTGCCTTTGACTGTTAAAGTTAAACAGTTAACTGAAGTATCATTGGTGTCAGTTTGTGGTTCAACTGTTTTCCTCTTGGTTTACTACCGGTATCTGCTTTTATCATGTTTTTATCTTTACTTGCTTTTTTTTTGGTTCTGTTGTACAGTTTTATTAATGTAAAGCACTGAACTGTAATAAACTGTACTGTACAAATAAACATGCCTTGCCTGTTCTTGCTTTGCTTCATCTGGCACAGGATGTCTTGAATTGATGTCACAGATGGCTTGAATTTTGCAATGAAACCAGAAGCCTATCAAGGGATTTTAGAGAGAAATATGTTGCCCAGTGTCAGAGAGCTCGGTCTAAGTAGCATGTCATGGGTCTTGCCACAGGATAATGACCCAAAATACACAGCTAAAAACACCCAAAAATGGCAATTTATAATTTGAGATCATTCTGTTGAAGCATGTCTGAAAAGCAATTTCTATGTATTATTACCTTGGTCAGATTCAAGTCAATCCTGACTAAAAACAGGGACGTTTTTCTTTTGTTACACATGGGCATCAACAATTTTGTCCATGTGAATATGTGCTAACATTTTATTAGCTCAAGTAATAATGCATTTAAGTTTACGTTCTTTCAGATAAGGAAGTTTAATAATGCCAAGACGGCTTTGTTTTAACTTAAAGGGGAGTTATTATACTTCTTATAAAAGGTTTGGGAGAGTACAATTTTAAAATCTCAGTTCTGTTAGATGCTTTCTTTTGCTAAAATGATTTTGAAGTTAAAAAAACTGTTACTGCTATAAACTGCTATAAAGTAGCTTACAAATAAAGCTTGTTTGAAGAGGCTGGCTTTAAACAAAGAATATTTGAAATGTAGAAAATTTATATTGTTATGTCATTTCATTGAGAACATGACAAAACCAAAAACATTATATTTTTCATGGGACTAAATTATGAATTTCCATTCAGGGATGCATTACCTCCACGCAGAAGCTCCAGTCAAAGTGATACACAGAGACCTCAAGTCACGAAATGGTAACATGATCCTTTATTTAGGTTCTTTTAAATTCATTTTGTTTGAGTTTGAGGTTGAGTCTGGGATCACATTTGCTTCTGACATGTTTTTAAGCACTGACTGGTTTGTGTTCTGCTTACAGTGGTATTGACTGGAGATAAAGTGCTAAAGGTATCCAATATAGTTGTATTATTTATCAAAGAAATACATGCTATAAATATGTAACTAAATTTATTTTCAATTTCTCATTTTGGGGTTTCAGATATGTGACTTTGGAGCATCTAAGTTTTTATCTCACACCACCCATATGACTGTAGTGGGCACTTTTCCCTGGATGGCTCCTGAAGTTATCCAGAGTCTGCCTGTCTCTGAGACTTGTGACACTTATTCATACGGCGTGGTAAGTTGGTACAATATAAAATCAGTTGCAATAAAAAAAATGGGAGAGGCCTTTATTAAAAGCATATACAGTACATATTTAGCCATATTTGTACTTGTACTTGTTATCTTCTGCTCCATCCGGGACCGGGTCATGGGGGCAGCAGTCTCAACAGAGACTCCCAGACTTCCCTCTCTGCTGAAACCTCCTCCAGCTCTGCTGGGGAAAGCAGGAGGTGTCCCAGGACAGCAGTCCCTCCAATGTGCCCTGGGTCATCCCTGAGCCTTCTTCAGGTCTACAAAACATATGTGGACCGGTTGGGCAAACTCCCATGAACCCTCCTGCACTCTGCAGAGAGTGCAGAGCTGGTCCACTGTTCCATGGCCAGGAAGAAAAACTGTGGACCAGCTTTTTTTTTGGTCCTGGCCATAGAACGGTGGAACAGCATAAGAATGGGGAGGGTATGTTTCAGCTATAGGGGGAGCACATGTCTCAGCCTGTCAAGGGAAGCCTACAGTATGCCAGGGTGCTGGAGAGGGGAGTCCAGCTGATGTTGTCCCTGTTGACCTTGGCTTCAGGAGGAGTAGTGTGGTTTTCATCCTGGTCATATCTGTATCTCTGTAAAGTAAAAAAGAATCATTGAGGGAACAGAGCAACTCAGTTCTGAAGGTTTTATTTTAGAGCTCCATTACACACAGTGATTTATACTTAAGGTGTTGGTGTTTTTTTTATTTTTATGTTTGCACAATGAAAAGCTTACTGAACTGTAGAGTACGGTTATAACCACATAACATTTCAGTTAAATACATGGTGCTATTTTACCGTGATGTACACGTAATCAAATGGTTACTTCTTGCCTAACTTTTAGTGCCTTTTAATCTGACAAGTGCGCCTATTTAGAACACATATTGTAGTTTTTTGAATCTGACTCTCTGTTCCCTTCTGTGCAATACTTGTTAGAGGATCCTTTTGCATTAATTACTGAATCACTGCAGTGTGGCATGCAGGCGATGAGCCTCAGGCACTGCTTACTGGAAGCCAAGTCTGCTTTTCTGGCCTTCAGCCTTTCTGCATTATTCAGGCTTGTGTCTCAGATCTTCTAGAAAATCCTCCATGGATTCTCTTGAGGGCAGTAAGGGCAATCAAGCACAGTGTTGCCATGGTCATTAAACCTGGTTTAGAAGTGGTTTAACAAATTTAATGTAACAGTTTATAGCTCTGCTGGATATTTGTGTGCTCGGCAGCTCTTTAGAGACTGATGTAGGTCCCACTTATTGTGAAACTTAACTGGCTTTGTTTCACAATCCTTTAAAGACTACTTTTGCTGATGCATCCTTTCTATTATATTTTTCCTTCCACTGACCTTTTCTATTGATATAAATTCAGTCAACAGCCAGCTTCTTTATCAGTGACCTTATGTGGCATATCCTCATTTACTAGCCATTGAAGAATAGTCAGTAGCCTTCCATACTTACTACCGTAACATTTTTTATATAAACATTTTTTGTTTGCTGTTTTATATTATTCTAATTGTCTAAAGAATACAATTTTGGGTTTTCATTAGCTTTAAGTCAGTTTCACCAAAACAAAAAATTATATAAACTATTGAAATATGTCACTTGATGTGTGTTTGCTTAATCAAAGGATATATATTTCCTCACAAACATTGATGTAATAACTGATCTGGACCCAGAACAGACATTGCAGTTCCTTGTTGTAATCATCAATATGCTTTATGACCAGGTGCTATGGGAGATGCTGACTCGGGAAGTTCCTTTCAAAGGTTTCGAGGGACTGCAAGTTGCATGGCTGGTGGTGGAAAAGCAAGAGGTATTTTGCACATGCATAGACACCTTCATAAGCCCTCTGCTAACATGCTGACCCACCAGAGTTCAAGGCAGCCAAAGGCACAATGCAATGCTCCCCTGCTTTCCACTCTGAGCTCGTTCTGCTGGGTATTTTTAGGCATGATGTCAGTTCTGTGTTCATGTAAGGCCTGGATACACAGCAGTGGAGTTTGGCCAAACTCTATGCAGGCAAGAGCCTTCACAAGCAAGAGAGAGAGGTAGAAAAATGTAGAGATGGGAGGGTTGATATTAGAGGTTTACAAGTGGTAGGGGATGGTGGTTACATGAGCTCTGTGTTTCAGTTAATGACCTCAGCAGCAACAGATTTACACACACATGGACACTAGTGGTCAACAAACAACCAGGGAACATGGATCTGGCATAGCTACTGGCAAAACTCCAAATACTATCCCTAAATAACTCAGTCTGTCTCTCTTTTCCTCTTTCCCAGTCTGCCTGATTTCCCTTTCTAAAGCTGCACATGTCTTCCTGACCCTTCAACTAGCCGTCTCTCCACTCTGAGTAGCAGATATTTTAAGATTAATCCCCGATGAACAAAAAGTTTCCATTTACTGTGCTCGGTTGGCTGGGTCTTGTGTTTTTTGGGACCTATGCTTTTATCACTGGGATTTAAAATGGGGTAGAGTTACAGTAAGGGTGTTACATTTTTGCTGCTGGTTGCTGATAAGAAAGTAGTTCAATACCACATATACTATACAGAATATAAAGAAGTGTTCCGTAAATGTTTGAAGGGATGACTTTCTGTTCAGCTCAAATTAATTGACTCAGCTGCACCATCAGTTCAAAAAAATATAAACGAGGAAATTTTAAAGTACGGCACATAACTGGTGCAAAAATAACACCTTGTCTTTGTCTGTTTTTTTAGGCTGATATACAAAAGTGTTCCATCATGCAAGTGAAAACCTTTTTGACAAAAAAACCCCAAAACAAAACAAAACAATCAGTGTTATAATCAGTTCTTATAGGACATGTTAACGGGTTATCACCTTAAAGTCTGATGCGAACAGATTTCACAAAGAATAATAAAAAAAAATACTTGCAGCTATATATATATTCAGAAGAGGATCTACAACCAATAATATAATTGAACTGAGTTGTGCAATACATGCAGTGGGTAGCACTGCTGCCTTGCAGCGAGAGGGTTCTGGGTTCGATTCCCGGCCTGGGGTCTTTCTGCATGGAGTTAGCATGTTTTCCCTGTGGCTGCGTGCGTTCTCTCTGGGTACTCTGGCTTCCTCCCACTGTCCAAAAACATGACTGTTGGGTTAATTGGCATCTCTAAATTCTCCTTAGGTGTGAGTTTGTGCATGGATGGTTGTTTGTCCTGTTTTTCTCTATGTTGCCCTGCGATAGACTGGCGACTGACTGACCTCCAGGGTGTACCCGACCTCTCGCCCGTAGACAGCTCACACGAAAAATGGATGGATGGATAAAAAAAAACCCAAATCATTTTCATTCATGCACTAGTTAGTTTTGGTCTATCACTTTAAAACAGATGTCGGGGCTGTTGACCAAAGTCAAAGAAATCTAAATACTTATAGAAGACATTTTATAAGCTTTATTGTTGAACATTTCTATTTGCAGCAGATGGAAAACATCTGAAAAAGGAAAATGATAAGTGTTGGCACAATGCTTAGAGGTGCACAACCAGTTTACAGATGTAAAAGCAGAACATTAAACATTTTTGAATGCATAAACAAAAAACCCCCCACGAAAATCATTTCCTGCCCTTCCACATTTTCACAATGATGCTGATGAAGGCTGAGGTTTTGATTTGATTATGAAAGTGCAGCTGTTATGTTGTGCACTGTAAATCAAATCTTATTAAATCACGCCTTCAAATGATCTTAACGATCCAATTCAAAACCCATTTTGTCATTTATTTGTAATTGTAGCTGTTGGCAAATGACGGCAACATCATTTGCTAAGCTTAGATGGCAGGTCTGGCAAACATACCTGCTACACATTAGCATGCAGAGATTGTCACCACAATGTTATTAACCCATGAATTGAGAGTTTACTTCTCTGCCCCTTTTGATAGCCAGTGTTGTTTACTTAGTCACATAGTTTCTTTGTTTGCATCTTTTTTTGGCATCTAGAGACTAACCATTCCCACCAGCTGCCCTGCAAGTTTTGCTGAGTTGATGAGGAAATGTTGGCAGGCAGATCCAAAGGTAAGATAAACAGCCTCTGGATGTAGGGAAAAGGTTTTGTTTTCCTTAGTAGAAAATGTTAGCTTTCATGTCTTATTTTGAACTCTTATCTTCAGGAAAGACCACAATTCAAGCAGTTGTTACTAACCTTGGAGTCCATGGCAAATGACAGCAGGCTGCCAGACCAGTGCAACTCTTTTCTACATAATAAGGACCAGTGGAGGTACATAACACAAAACACTAGCGGTCAGTTTTTGCAAAGTAAAAGCTGCTGGTGAATTACAACATGACAGATCCAACAACAATGCACACATGAAAAAACAACTCTGTGAGAATCTGAAAGTCAGGAAAGAAGCTGCATGTGTGACCCTGCACTCGGCTTCAGTCTATATTAAGCTCTCTGGAAAGTGTCCATGGAAGAGATTCCTCTACTCCTCCACAGGGGCGGGAGATGCAGAGAAGTTCTGGGTGAAGGAGGAGGGTGGATGTGGGACGTAAAGGAAAATTAAAATGTCAGTCGAAGTTTAGGGAGGAACAGAAATGTAATGTGCGCATGTGAATTCTAAAATGCTCAGCAAAGTAGAAACAATGAACATAGAGAAAAGAAACAAAGGTCGACTAATGAAGGGAGGGAGGAAGATGTTGGCAGAGGACCAGGGGTGCAATGGTGTGAGATTCTGTGCATATTTACCATCAGCACAATGAAGGCAATCATTTCTGAGTGAAGGTTTGGGTATGGGTGGAAAAAGTTGGAGGGGGGGGAGCTAAGTAGGTGAAGGGGTGGGATAAATGAGCGGGGAAGTGCTGTGCTGAAGGAACACAGGAGGTATGGCTGTGCATCAAGGCTCAGACTATATTTAGCTGCTGTGAGAGGTGATTGTTTGTGAGGACCTGTTTAAAGAAGACAGTCAGGCACCAGTAACCACAGTGACCTTCTGTGGAAGCAGACAGTACTGCAGCTCAACTATATTATGTGTGAATATGCTGATACATATGTTGTGTGGATGAAATCAGTGGAGTTTTCAGTGAAAGCAACAGCATGATCTATGAAGGGTTAATCTAAGACTTCTTATATACCCAAGGATAGTGCTTTTAAAATATTTTAGCCCCTCTTTGGATTTTGTTTTCTAATTTTTCTTGTTTTATGTTTCGGATTATAAACAAACTTCAATATTAGAAAGACGAAATGTGGCTCTGTGTGAAGTCAGTTGCTCTCCAAAAAAAAAAACTTGGTTTGCCATCGACAGTGGTAACACCTACAGTATGAAGCTTTTGTGGTTCGGTCCATCAGTCCATTAAAACAAGAGCCATGTCCTTAAATGCAGGTCTTCTTATTCTAAGATGCTTTTGATGTGCAAGAAGTTCCTCTTGTTTGTTTTTAACTGATTTTTGTCTCAATACTTGCGCTTCGGCAGATGTGAAATCGAATCAACCCTTGAGCGCCTTCGAAAGCTGGAGCGGGAGCTGTACTCCAAAGAGAAAGAGTTGGAGGAGAGGGAGAGGAGGCTAAGACTGTGGGAGGAGAGGCTGATGGAGAGGTCCAACATGACACCCAGCCCAACCTCTCTACTCATGGACCGCTCAAACATTTCACCAGTAAGTAGAAGCCATGTTGCCAATGCATTCCTTCCTGTGGACTCAAAAATGGTTGGAGAGCTTTTCTACCAAAGTGACCCTTTTCCTTTTTGTTTTGATCAGTTCTTCACACCTATGACCATCGGTTCCTCTGGCTCTTTCTTTCGCTCACACTCCCAGGACTCCAACAGCCTAAGCAGCGCAGGGGTTAGTAGCGCTGGTGTCAGCTGTCTCCTCCGCACGCTCAGCAATGGAGACACAGAACGAGGAAGCAGCGCTGTGCTGGAGAGAGGGGTCGGTTCACTCGACAGCGGCAGACTGCATGTCATGCTGCGAGGTTTACAGGGAAGGTTTGAAGATGATGAGGAAGATGAAGGAACTGTTGAGGAGAAAGATTGGGGACATAAGGAACACAATGATAGTGGGAGTCTAGAGGGAGGAAGAGTTCAGGTAACACTCAGGAGCTTCCCAGGAGGTGTTGTTGAGAGGAAGGAGAGGACCTGGGAAGAAGGCGACAGAGAGAGAGGAGGCATGCAGAGAAGCAGAGTGACCACCATAGTCCGAGGATATTCAGGAGGATATGGGGAGGCAGAGGGGGAGAGAGAGAAGGAAGTAGGGTGGGAGATTGAAAAACTAGGGGACAAGCTAGAGGATAGAGGGGTGGAAGGAGGGCTCGAAGGAAACAGGCTCCCATCAATGTTTAAAGGTCTCAGAGGAAGTTTTGGTAGCCTGGGGGATATGCTGTCCTTAGATATGGAGGAAATGGGGGAGATGGACAGAATTGGCGACATGGACATGAACATGAATATGGGCGACCTGGGAGTGATGAAAGTGGTGGGTCAGGGTGTCAGGAGTGAATTGGGCGTCAGGGGTCACCGAAGTGACGTGGGGGTTGTGGTCCAGGGAGTAAGGGGCGACCTCAGTGATGCCATCAGTCAGAAGATAAGAGGTGAAGTGGGTGTCATTGGTCACTCTGGGATGCAGGTGAGCATGCGGGCATCTTCTAATCAGAACTCTGTGAAGAGCTGCAGCGTGCGACATGGAACAAAGATCAACATGGCAACAGCTGCCATGGACATGATGGAACTTGACTGGTCCGATAGTGACTAGGAAACACATGGGTAGATACATTCACAGCAAGCAAATATGGAAAAATGGTTTAACTTCCTCACACAGGCAGCATTTGAACTACAGATTGTGTCACAGTGTTCAGGTGAGGCAGACTTTAATCATTTTAAATGAACAATACACCCATGTGATTTGATAGATAGCAGAGTAATCCAAACCCCTTTCAGACAAAATCTCTTTAAAAGGAAAGGCCATTAATGTTGGTCAGTGTTTCAAACAACGGTCACTCTAACATCTACAGTATATCTTGCAATTCTTCATACAGTTAAACGATGACTATTACAGTTGAATTGTCTCATTAGTTCGAATGGTACGTGCTGGTACACGCCTACATCACAGATATAGGCTTTTGGCAACACAGCTTCTTGTTGACTTACTCCTATATAGCTAGTCATCTTGTCCTGCATTGCCTCAATAGAACCTTCTTCGGGCATTGCTGAGTCCATGCCTTCAAACAAGAGGCTCAATTTGGTAAGGCCCTGACCTTGTCCTTCACTGACAATTGAATAAAAAAAAATCCACCATCTCAAAAGATTTGTCAATCATGTTCGTAACTACCAGTTAAGCTTGCTGCCATGTCCAAAGTAGGTAATACTAAAAGCAGTTTGGAAAACCTTAGAGTCAAGGTAACAGTCTTAATTCCCTTAGATATGCACACTGGAATGTAGTAATAACTGCCACGCTAATGTGCTAAACACAAAAAACCTGTTTTAAAATTGCCAACTGTTATCATTTTATCCCTTACAAAAACACTGCAATCTTAAAGAGAAATCTGAATCAGCAAAAAATGTAAAAAGCTTCACAATAACTTGCGGTAGGAATCTATCTCCAGCATGTTTGCACCCGTTCATGCCTCGTTAGAAAGGTTATCTTTTAAGGTGCTTAAAGTGACCTGTGTGTTTATTATGACAGGAATCTGATATGTTTAAAATGTGTCAGAAAAATACAAACAATTGTCTGAAAGGGGCTGGGTGTGTTGTCCTAGCAAGTCTTCAGACTGACTTCACCTGTGTAATTTGAACTACTTCGAAACTGCTGCATAACATACTGTAAGAGGTACAAGTGTGATGTACTTGAATGCCACACTAATGAGACAGCACTGTTGTTTGTTTCCCTTCTGCTTATGAGGTATTTTGTAGTTTATGGATTTGATTTGATAAACATGCTTAGACTTTATCTGTTCTAACTGTGATTTAGTGTGAGAATTTTTGACATTTTTCTCTGTATATTGTATCATTTTTCAATAAAAAGAAAACATGGTTGATTTCACTGCAGTAAGATTTATTTGAGTAAATGGATACACTTCTGAGAACATTCATGAATGGGATATAGTCAGCACTTATCTTAAAGAATTTAAACGCTGAGCAGGAGAGCCACCCCAGCCAGCACCCATTTGGCTGGACGCTCCCTAGTTTTCAGATTAAAAGTCCACACATATGTGGGTCCTCTAATCTTGGTCTTGTAGAGCGGACATTCATAGATGTTTCTTGTCTCCTGGCGGTCATTGGGCACTGCTCTAACTGAAATCACAGGCATGGCTGGTGTTAGCTCTTTCAGACGAGCCTCAGCAATCATCCCAGTCTGAGTGTCCCACCTGGATCCTGGGATACAATCAGAAAATTAAGGGATAATGCTTTTTATGCTGGTTATATACAACAGGTGATACCAAAGTGACAGAACAGATTGGTAATTATGAATTCAAAACACAACATCTACCTTCCATGTATAGCCCATACACATATGCACCCTCTCTGGCAGGTTGGTTGAATTCTTCCTTATATTTCTTTGTTACATCTACAGTAAGGTTAACTTTATCCAGAGGCCATTCATTTTTACGTGCCAGAGATTGCATCACAGCTAGGAGATGCAAAAGAAGACAAAAACAACTGCTTGTAGTGATAATCAACCCATAGACACAGATGCATTACAAAGGCAATAATGCTTTTTTGTGTTACCGGTTAGGAAAGACTGTGGATTGAACAGTCCAGATAGCCAGACAACCCTAGGCAGAGACAGGTCTTGAGTCCAGCTGTCCAGCTCTTTACAACGCAGCATCACATCATTGAACCTAATGAAATAGAGACTGTTGAACTGTTGAAAAATAAACTCAACACTTAATTTTTTAAAAATAATTTCCATTGCTGTGGTTTTAATAGGTACATTAAATTAGCTTTTATTCTGAATCATTTTAACTTTCATGCAACTTTCTCCTTTTTGGTATTTATCCTTTAATAATAAAAATGCTTTTACTTTTTCCACACTTTTAAGCTTAGTGAGAGTCTATTTCTCATATACCTTTTTGTCTGGCATGTTGAATTATTTATAGTTTTTATTCTTTACTTATTTTAACTGTACTATTCAATTAAATGTATTTATATAACACTCATTCTCAACACATGTCATGTCACAGTACTTTATAATTTAATCAAGTCAAGAAAATATCCTACATGCAGAGACTTACAGGGGTACATATGGGGACAATCTACTGGTCCCATATGATAAAGTTCTGTTATTTGAGTTGGGGTTAGGTTTGGGACTATGGTGTGAATTTCGTGTAGGTTAGGGTTAGGTGTATGTTGGGAATTGTTCGGGTTAGGTTGAGGGTCATGGTTATGCTGTAGAAATTGGTTAAAAATTAATAGAAGTCAATAGAAAGTCCCCACATGTTTAGAGAACCCGACGTGCGTGGGTGTGTGTGGTGTGTACAGGATAACAGGATAACTGAATGGAATTTTAATCAAATTCAAGGAACAATTCATTCAAATTTGCTAACGTTCCAGATCATGTTCAAGTTTTAGCTATAGGTTTAAGTCACAATATGGGGGAAAATTTGCTCCTCGGTGGAGGTCTACGCATTTTTTTTAATGCTTTTTTAGTTTAACCTATTTTTTGATACTCTCATATAGACTTTTCACAAATAATGCTATGCAATATGTTTTATATACAAGACAGATTAAGTGATGACAACTTATTTATGATACACAGACATACAGCACAGTCTGAATAGCATCAGACATGATACTAGCCTCTTCACAATACATTTAGTACTGTTACAATTTTTATTTATATGTCAGCTACTTTAAATCATTTTCCTGTTTTACTACAGATTAAAAGCTAAATTTTTAGGTACACCTTTCTAGCATAGAGTTTGGATCCCTTTTCCTTGTACATGTACTGTAGTTTTTCCGAATAGAAATGCACCAATTGCAGGTTTCTCACCAATCACCAAATCCCAATCTTTAAAAAAACTGATTTTGACTGATACAGATTTTGTTTTTTTTTTTACAACTGACACTGTCTTTTGTTATATAAACACAAGACACCTTTAATATTTCAATCTTATTTTACTAAAAGATATTAATCCATACCTGTGAAACAATAAAAACTTCTGAAACAACTGCTTTCAAATATAAATCTAAAATATAAATGTTTAGAGCATTGACAATGGGTGATTTTCAGACTTTTGCAAAAGATTGATTTAACATCTAAGAATTGGCCAATAACTGATCTCCAAACATTAAGAAAATTGAGGCCGATCGATCGGCTGGCTGATCAATCAGTGTAGCCCTACTTCTGAATGTGACAGAAGTAGGGCTACTGTGATCCATGCTTACCATCTATAGGTTGCTACCAAATTTCCCTATCTATTGATAAAATACATTTTGGAAAGTCTTAGACAGGTGTATCCTCAGTTTCAATTTTGGATAGGAAAGGAGTTACACATATTTTTTTTGCTGCTTTTTATACTTTAGATTATCTGTGTAAAGTCAGAAGTGTACAATGGTATCAGAAAATAAATCTTAGTTGTAGCAGATGTGCCTTTCCTTTTTATCTTTACAAATCAGTCTGTCTATTTTCCTCTAACCTTCGACATCGACAAGGCCTTTTTCATCCAACTGCTACATACAGGGTATATTTGTTTTATCTAACTGTTTGTTGTAATCCAAAGAGATAGTTGTGCAGGAAAATTTAATTTTCCTCTAACCTTCATCAACAAGGCCTTCTTTTAATCTATCTGCTACACACTGGATATTTTCACTCTATCTCACTGTTTTATTTGTAATCCAAACAGATAGATGTTTAGAAGAAATTCCTGTATACCATTTCTAAAGCACATTGAGTTAATGCCATTTGGTCAAATGGTTTGCTGTTAGACTGGGAATTACTAATAAAGTAGCCAGTGATTGTCACAGTAACACTACAAGAGTTCTCTAGTCTTACATAAAAGTAAATTTAACTCTTGTAACTACAAGCCCCTTCTACTGAAGCACGTTAAAGTGCTGCAACATACCACATCGCCAAACTGTAGGTTGAAGGGTAGGCAAGTTTGCTCCATGTATCAGGGACATTGTCGAAGAACAAGTCTGTCTGCAGCTTCTCCATCTCAGAAGACATGGCCAGTTCACCCTTTACACAGACAACTATACATTATGACACTGAGCACACACATTCAGGAAAGATTATGTATCATCAGACATACATTAGGTAAAACATTAGGCCTTCTGTGCATAAATTTTTCTTCAAACATACTTTTAGTCCCAGATCGAGCTCCTTCAATGACCGGCGGATCTCTAAAATGAGCATGTTCATGCGCTCACATTCCTGGAAGCAGACTAGAATGTATGGAGTCCGCTCAGTGGTTTTAGATGTAATGTCTGACATACTGTATTCCTCTGGGAGCTTTTCCAGAATTTCATCCAAAATAGTTTTTACCTGCAAGTGAGTAGAGTGATGAGTTCCTTAACAGATTGAAAACAACCCAGCAAACTAAAACATGTATTAACAGAATACCACTGCTATGCCTGTTTCTACAAGAATCTAAAAATCTGAAGTTCTGGTATTTAAACTGACTGAATAATGATAATTATTAGAATGTTTATGAAAGTTTTAGCCCTTTCTTAGGAAAGATAAATCCTACCTTTTCTTCTAGCGTCTGTGATACTCCCTCTCCCATTACAGCATCAGGAGACTGCAGCTCCAGCAGTGTGTGAAAAAGATTATCCGACGTCACAGTGAGAAACTCAATTTCAGCATTTGGGTGCAGTCCGTAATGAACTGGGCTTTCGTGTGGCAGCATCTCATCTATGAAGTCATGGTAGCCCTGAGAAGAAGGAAAATTCAATTAATGGGCAAAAATATATCTGATCTATTTTCAGGAACTTGCATATGAAATGTAAAAATACAGCGTATGCCTTGCAGGAAGTCTAAACCTCATGGCCAGCTTACTGACTGCATTATTTTTC